AACATGAAGGATCGAGCTTATAGTCGTTTGAATCCTCAATCCGCGACAGCTCGTCAGCAACCCCATTCAAATCCCTGCTGATCCATCCCACGGTTAGACGAATGTTAAACTCCCTGCACAGCCTAAAGATATTAACTGCCTCATTGCGAAGGTCGGATTTGCGGCTGCTTATCGAGAGAATGATCTCAGTGTTCTTATTGTCAGTTCTGTGTAGAACCTCCTTGCCTCTTAGCAGGGGAGCAAAAGACTTCAGAACTAGACCAGTTGCCCGCAGTTTCCGGAAGGTGGAGCTCTTGTTACTCTCATCGAGTGACCAACTTCCTACTGCCACTTGTCCCCCAACCTGAACAGCAAATCCGCCCCAACCAGAATCACTAGCATCTGAGTAAGTCAAAACTTCAGGCTTCGGACTAGGAGCCCAAATCGGATAGCCTGTATTACGATAATTCTTCTCCCAGAAAACAATCTCACCTTGGGCATCTGCAGATAACTGGAAAGGGCTGTCCCACGAAGCAGCTTGTAGGATGTCCGGTATAAGCTTCTAGTCCAAAGGCGTACCACTGGACCCAGCGTCAAACTCATGGAAGCCAGGAGTCCTGTGAACCGGGCTGCCGTGCGTGCAGATACTACAAACTTATGAGCTATAACATCCCTTAGCATATGGTGAAAAGTATCTACCCTTCGTTGGGGGACTTGAAAAGTTCCGGCACGTAAATTCAGGACATAACCCAACAGCTCCCCGGATTGGACTGGTACCCACTGGCTCTTCACATCATTGGCCACAAAACCGCTACGCCGCACATCCGCTTGCACCATGTCCGAAACCCGCTGTGCTTCAGAGAAATCAGAATCCGCCCCTGCACCATCATCTAGGTAAGTAAATAAACGAATTCCGTGCCTTCTCCAGTGCTTCGTCAGGGCTTTTTGGATCTTTGTAAAGATGAAAGGTCCAACTGAAAGGCCGAAAGGCAAAACGGTAAACTTAAAAAACTTACAGGAACCATCAACCGTCCAAGAGCAGCCAAGGAACTTTGTATGCTCTGGAAAAATTTCTAAATGGTGATATCCACTGGTATATTCAAATTTAAAGAACCAGTCACCTTTTTGGAACAAATCAGCTGCTGTACGTATGTCCTCGTACTTGAATTTACATGATCGGAGATGTTGATTGACATAGCGTAAATCCACAATAAGCCTAAGTTTCCCTGAACTATTCATGGCTACGCCCAATGGACTGCACACAAGAAGGTCCGCAGGACTACCCTCCACCAATGCACCCGACTTCAGCAATTTAGAAATCTCAGCAGACATAAACTCAGCATTGCATAACGCGCTCCTGTGATTCTGAAAAAACTTCACCTCAGGTAACTCAACAAACGGCAAACAATAACCTTCACGAATAACTCTCAGTAGCCAATTACTAGCACCGATATTTTGCCAGAAAGCAATGTTCTCTCTCAAGCGACCTTTGACAACAACACAACTATGATTAACGTCAACAAATAAATCATCTCTGATCATATCATATAAGGAGTCACTCACAGAACCATCACAGCAGAGATCGTTGGCCGTTCCGGACATCAGGAATTCATTGGCTTCTTTGTTGATAGTTTCCTGTGGACTGTCCAACGGCTCCTGCCCCATTCTGGACGTTGGCAGCACGGCATTACCTGGCAAAGTGTCCTGGCTTGAAGCAACGAAAACAGACAGACCGCCCGTCACGTGACTGACTCTGTTTTCCCGCCACTAATGGCGTCGCGTAACTCGCATTACTGCGGTCGAGGATAACCCTCCTTTCCGAAGCACGTGGAATAACTCCTTTAGCCTTCGGAACCTTGGGGGAAGCCGCTCGTTTTTTATTCCTCCCTCAACTGTTTGCTTTCCTTCACGGCCTTCCGTATCTTCTTTTCGTCATCCGAGTCGCTAGCAAGCGGATCGGCGGTATAGCAAGCGACCGTATCCCAGCCGTACTTTTCGGCAAGTAAGATGTTCTTGTTCCTTTCCACGAGCAAATCCTTACCTTCGGTGAGCTCTTTAGTACAGTCCTCGCCGTCATCCGTCGCCAGCGCTTCGTCAATTTTTTCTAATACTTCCTTGTTTAGTTGGTATTGCTTCTTTTTACCGGCGAAGCGAAACTCTGGATCTGCTGCACGGGGTTCTCAGCGTTCTGAGATTTCGAGCTCGCCATTTCGCTCTGTAAGCGCTTCAATTCGGTAGCATTGGCTTACTGCTGTTTCAGAGGCTCCTTCGCCCAGTCCGGTGGTTCTAAAGAGACGCGGAGAGGCGAAGAACGTACATACTACTCCTACTCGACCCGCCACGAGAACTGCG